TTCACTCAGATTTCACTACTCAAAATATTTTAAAAGTAAATTCTACAGATTTGCCAGAAATTCAACTAGCTCAACATTACCCTATGAGATTTTTCCACACAAGGAAGTAAAAATTGTTGAACTGTCACATTAAGTATTTATTCGTTTCCCAACTTTTTAATTTTTAATTAGACATTTTTACTTTGATAGTAAGAGCTGTACACACTTGAGATTGAAATAATGCCATGTTTCTCTTGCTTCAGAAAGTACTAGTGTAGGTTTTTCTGTATCCTGAGTTGGAGAATATTTACAACACAATACAACTTCAGCCAACAAGGACATGTTTATTCCCATGTTTTCAGAGATCCATGTTTATGTTAATGAGGACTTGCACTTCTGGATCCACTGTGTGGTTCTGATTTAACTGCATCCTCCCTATGTGATTTTGCTGGATGAACTAGACAAGTCTGCCTACTCTAACAAGTCTTTGTCAACACAGATTTGGCAGAAAGATGAAATAAAAGCATTCAGAGAAATGCCTCAGTCTGCAAAACCCTTGGGCTTGACAGCTCTGGAGCCTGGAAGAGCAGCTTTACACTCTAGGTTGTCTCCTGCCTCCATTTAAAGAGCATCAAGTTTTGGGGCTGTACAGAGAACACTGTTTATCCTCCCCACACCCCCCTTCAGGGGTGAACTCTGCTGATCTGTTGAGTTTTCCTGCAAGTTCAGAGGCACTCATTCATTCTTAGCTTTTCCTGCACCTTTCCTGTAAGAGGAAATGGACAGGTCATAGCTTCTATTTCACATTATTACTAACCCATAAGCAAATGCCTTGCCCCTTAAAAAGAAAAATCTGTGAGAAAAAAAGTATATGGAATTTAAGAGGTCTCCAGAAGCTGCTAAAACTTACAGTTAACTTGATTTGTTAAGAAACAGCCATTTAGCTTCACAGATAACCTAAGAGCTAGCTTGAGCTAGTTAGACTAGCATTCTAACTTTGGTAACCACAAGATCCCCACTCAGCAGCTCATTTGAACACTTGGGAAAAAAATTAAAACAAAAACTTCCCAAGGTTTTATGAGACAAGCACATATCAATTCATCACAGAATATCAGGCTGCAAGGGACCTCAAGGACCATCTGGTCCAACCTTTTTAGTTAATACTAAAGCTTTTATGAGATGGCTCATATAAACTATACATAAAGATATAACACTAATTCCCTAATGGTATGGCTCAGTACTTTATTAGCAAAGATGTTGTGAAGCTACAACATCTAACTTGAAGTTGTATTTTGTGACTGTCATTGAATATCCCTTCTATTATAGCATTAGCAGCATCCAGAACATGCCACTTAAGTTGACAAGCATGTCATACACATGGTGCTGTGGTACTAGTTACCTGCTCGAATTACAATATAAGCCAGTTTGCTTCAGGAAAAATACAAGTTTGTCTTCACAGACTGACTGGAACAGCCTGGGATTATGTTGTCAATTTTTCTTCTGTCTTTTGGCAAGACCTCTGGTGTTAGGTCTCACTGAAGAAGACTTAACAGCTGACCTTCAGTTTAACATGGTCTTCAAGAACCAAAACAACTCACTGAAGTGCTACATGCCATAGACACCTATTTTTCCCCACAAGGTCTTTATTAAGAACCAAACCATATGGGAGACAAAAGAGGTCACCATTCTGAGAACTACTGTTTTACATTCCTTTCTCCTCCTGTCATTGTTTTTTTCCTCTTGGCACTGTGAAGAGCTGCCCAGGGCCTCACCCATTATAGAATTCCTATATTCCTCAACTGCTCCACCACTATATGGGTTTCTGATCCCCCTTGCAACCTCCCTTCACTTTTGTATGTCTTGTTCCAAGTCTAACAGCTCCAACTTCAGATCTCCTTTGCCTGAAGAATGCTAATTTGACAAGTGAGTGACCTAGAGCAATTTACACTAGCTTAGATCACATAACTCATATCCACTGCCTGTTCACCATCCTCCAAAACCAAACCACTAAGTACAACCCAGTAACTCACTACACTGGCTATAATGCAAAAGCTGCACGTAGCAGGACTTAAGTATCAGCCCCACCAGGGGAAAAAAAAAAAATACCACAATGCTGATTTTTGTTTTGAGGTAGAACAAACAATGTAGTTGTAAATAAAGGGACACACATTGGAGCAGCTGAGACTTGGAAGAAGACAGTCAGCAGTAGGGAAGATCAGACATCATGAAGCTCAGTCTCTGCATTGCGACTTCAAGTAGCCTGCCATCAGAAAAAGCAGTGTCAGAGTCTACTTTCAGCTCAGTTCAGATTTTGCTCAGGTTATCACATATGGAAGAAACTACTTTCTTTCTTAGGTCAGTTATTCCAGACTAGGACTTCTGAAGAGTTCAAGACTTCCTTCAGTACTCACCACACACTTAAGTATGCACACTCACAATCACTTTTAGTACCGTTTTGACTTTGTTTTAATACATGTAAAAGGATACCAAGTGATAACTAACATGAGTTAGAGCACAAAAACCCCACAAACGAGTTGCATGTTACATGTAAATGGGTGCTGGAGACAGAGTTGAAACAGTAGCAGTTAGCAGGGGCAAGTAGAAGCTTAACAGTTTTTACCATTACATGAAGCCTTCTGAAGTGAGTGAGCAGAAAGGTAAACTTGGGGGTTAACTTCTGTTCAGCAGTCTACAAGTCTACTTACATATCCAACCAGCCTGTGCTTACAGAAGGTCTTATGGTCTCACAAGACAAGAAAAAACCCAACAACCTACACAACAGAAGCTGACAGCTAATACTTATTACTGAGAGGCTTCACCTAAATGTCAAACTTTCTTTCGTGGAGCACAATGAGTCAAGTTAAAAGGAAATCCCAGACAGGAGAAAAACTGTATTAGGTTACCAAATCCTCACTTTTATCAAGTTAAAGAGCAACTCTTCTAGACTACTGCTTCCCTAGAGGGATCATCTATAGGAAAGAGAAGCTCTGCATCAAATCCAGTCTGAAGCTCCTGCAGAGTAAGCCTACACCTACCGTTATGAGCACACCCAAACTACAGCCACCTCACTGGATGTCAGCGACAACTTCAGCAGTCACTAAGGCATTAAGAGGTACATGCTTATATCCCAAAGTACATCTGCAGTATGGGCAAGACAACTTCTTTTTTTAAAAGTGTCACCTTAGAGGGGTAAAAGAATCCTGTGCTATGTAAGTTTCTCAAAAACCTAAAACGAGAAGACAGTGCTGGAGATGCAAAAAATACATCATTTAAGCCTGCTCTACCTGGTTATGCAACTCCAGCTCCTTGCTGCTAACAATGCTAGTTCCCAGTGCTTTCAAAGACACTACTGAGGCTGAAATCCTCCTCCAGGAATCCCCGTGCAGCTCAGTGACCCCGTCCCTTCGTACGGCGACTCGGCAAACTGCAGCCAGCGGGTTCAGGTACACCCAGCACACATCTCCTTATCGGGCTAGGGAGCAATTTTAACTAAGGGACAAAAAAAAAAGCAACCCAGAGTCGCTCAAGGTGCCGCTCAGACACGTAGGATTCCTCCAAGGGATGACTTTACACCCCGGCGGTATCAA